CCACTGTGACCCTGTCCCTTGTACCCACTGTGACCCTGTCCCTTGTACCCACTGTGACCCTGTCGCTTGTACCCACTGTTACTCTGTCCCTTGTACCCAACTGTGACCCTGTCCATTGTACCCACTGTTACTGTGTCCCTCGTACCCAACTGTGACCCTGTGTCCATTATCCCTGTATCATGTACCCTGTGCCCTATATGCTCCATCCTTTGCCATGTGCCCTATATCCTTCATCCTGTACCTGTGCCTTGTATCTCACATCGTATACCATGTGCCCTGTGCCCTGTGCCCTGTACTCTACATCCTGTACCATGTGTATTCTCGTCCTGTATCATGTGCCTTGTTTCCCAGTACAGAAAGAACGTTTGTACACTTACAAGTGCCACAGTCGTCGCAGCAGCCACACAATCCTGTACTCCACTCTCTTGGGGCAGCACGGGCAGAAACAGGCTGCTGGTTGATCATTACCAAGTTTGTATTGCTGGTAGTTTGGGAATGCATTGGTGCCATTTGACCTTGCTGCATCATCATTGGTTGACCTTGGTACATCATTGGCTGACCTGGCTGCATCATTGGCTGACCTGGTTGCGTCATTATTGGCTGACCTTGCTGCATCATTGACTGACCTTGCTGCATCATGGGCGGAGTCTGAATGGGGTATTGTTCTGGAGAAGACTGCTGATAATTAGGTGGCGCCTGTGACTTTGGCTCTTCCATTGTTGTCGTCTGTGGTTCACTTATTGTTGGCTCTCTTGACTGATGAACGACGCGACTGTAACTGATGGAGAAGGAGAAAAAGAAAAAGAAAAAAARAATAACAGAAAGAAGAAGAAGTTCGAAAACGAAAAGAAAAAGGAAAACAAGAAGATGATGCAAGGAGGAAATTTCGTCGAGCATGCGCAGTAAGAAACAAAGGCTCTGGGTACGAGATTGTCTAAGGAGAAGCTTCCAGGATAATGCGCTTCGAAACTCAGTAAGAACTTCAACAAAAGAGTCATAATTAAAGCTATAGAAATTTTTCAGTCCCACGATTTTAGATTTTTTTAAAAACGTTTTTGAATTAATAACAATCAATTCAAAAGTAAAAGAGTATTCTCAAAACTTCGCACACCAGAGAAACTGAAGTTGGCTTATACTGCTGTTAAAATTAAAGTGCAAGCCAAAGTATTCCGGCTCGCTCGCGTAATAAAATACCCAAAATGTAGTCTGTTACTAACAATTTTCTTTCAATAATATTTCCACTACCCACCCATGTATGGTGTATTTTAAGGAATTTAGTAACGTATTAATGACTATATGAAAAACTTGTTGACTTCTTAAGAGGCAATGTCCACAAGAATCGAA